CACAGCATGTGAGTACTAAACTAAGTTCTCATTCACACACAAGTTTATGTTAAAAGCACACATGAGCTACAAAAACAGTCGGTTATGTCTGTGAAGGTAAAAGCTGGGAAATAAATCGCTTGTTTATTTTAGATCTGTGTGGCAGCAGCAATATACATTAAATAAATCAATAAATCCACTGCTCTGTTGTCTCCGCTGAGGCTGGGACTGTAAATAGTGTTCTGTGCTCGTTTGTGCAGCCAAAGACAGAACAGTTAGCATGTGTTGCTCAAACTTTCACCATGGCATTAGAACTAATACACCGTTGTCGCTTGCGAAAACACAATAACGGCGCCGTGGGTGTAAACTTACAGATTAAGGGGCGGTAATATTATAATGAGATCCCTTTGCCACGTCACCAAGGGAGCGATATCAAACACGCTTGTTTTCTCAGACTATTGCAGAAAAAGGCTTACCAAAACAAAGTTACTGGGTTCATCTTTTTCACGTTTCCTTGGTTGGTAGATGCACCGGGGACCTGATTATAGCACTTAAAACCTGGAAAAGTCAGATTTTCATGATATGTCACCTTTAATACTAACTTTCATATCCACTCAAAGAAAGCTGCATCTATTCTAATTTAACTGCTCAAGCTGCTGAGACATTAGATAGCATTTTGGAAAAGGGACTGGCTGAATGAAGCCCACAAAACTAAAATCCTTTGTGCAGTTTAGGAAGAGCATCTGGAGTTTCATTCTGTCTTGGACTAGTTGAGCAAGGACATCTGCCACCAGCTTGGAACAGATGAGCTTAATGCTAAGACAAACAGCTAAACTCCAAATGTATCCACTCAAAGAAAGCTGCATCTATTCTAATTTAACTGCTCAAGCTGCTGAGACATTAGATAGCATTTTGGAAAAGGGACTCGCTGAATGAAGCCCACAAAACTAAAATCCTTTGTGCAGTTTAGGAAGAGCATCTGGAGTTTCATTCTGTCTTGGACTAGTTGAGCAAGGACATCTGCCACCAGCTTGGAACAGATGAGCTTAATGCTAAGACAAACAGCTAAACTCCAAATAAACCCCAGGGTGTGATAATGGTCACACATCCTCACCAGTCACAAAGAGAATTACTGTAATTATGAAGCAAACGAAACAGAACATTGTCCCTCACAAACACATACAATTGCAGGGACAGAAACTTGGCAGAACTTTTTAGAGCTCTAAGGAACTGAGAATAAGCCAAATCAGTGACAGTCTGTCTGAAAGAGCCTAAACACAATGCATACACACAGTTTATCAGCATGTGTTCGAGGACGTGTTTTTTTCGGCCAATATACAGACAGAGAGAGAGAGATCCGGGAAACAACCATGTCATATAGCGCCAATTACTTGTGGCTCTGAATGTGTTGGGAGTCAGACTATCCCTCTGCTCGGATGGCTTCTAACACCAGGTACATTCTGCTCAGGGGGAAATGAGTCTGTTGTGGTAATTCACAGGTTAGTGGTGCGTCAGCCAGTGTGTTTGTGCGAACCTGCCAGCGCGAGTCCGTGCTAACAATCTGTCTTGATCCTGGACCACAGCTGATTCCCCAGAGCTCAACAATGACTCACTAGCCATGAACTCACTTTATTATGAGCCTCGCTCAGAGTCAGAGGATGATGACAGGCTATGTGAGTGTGTGTTTGAATTAGGGAGACATTGGGGTGCTGGCAGGTCTAAAAATGTCACACTGCTGACCGCCAACGTGACACACAGTCTTCCTCATTACCTAGACCTCACCGGCCAAGCGGCATGACCATGAGACGCAGTTCACGCAACACTCTCACACACAAACATACACATCACACACACACACAATGAATCACCTGGCCGGATCGGGATAGATGGGGTGGTCTCGTGATCCAGAGACGTCATATCTGGAAAGAGACATCATGGACGACTCCAGCAACCTCCTACAAAACAGAATTACATTGCTTTGCATGTTTTTGAATTGTGAAGACTTTCACCTCCTGCTCATATAAAGAATCTCTGGACAGGACATCACAGACACATTTTCCTCCAATTTGCACTATGCTGTTTCTACAGTAACACTCTCCACCATGGGCCATCACAATCATTAAAAATCTCATTAAACTGAACAAGGACATTAGTATTCTCATTACCGACTGTTATGCAAAGGCTAAATGAATGTAATGTGTAAGTAATGATGTGAGCTCTGCCAGGCCTGGCTAGGAATCAGTTAAAAATCTGTTAAAATTGTGGAATTTGTTAAAGAGCAGGTCATATGGTATTTTAAAGTGTCCTAATATTGTGTCAGAATTTATCATGCACTTTTTTGATTAACAACTGCAGATTGTTTTCATTTAAGGATAGCTACGTTATAAACTGCAAAAGAGATATTTTTCAAAAACCCATATGACCTGCTCTTTAAGTTTGAGTTTGTACTCAAACTTCCTCACACACCACAGAGTATGCTGAAGGCCATTAAAAGAGGAGACTGAGTCCTGTGGACGACAACAT